TGTTCGGACTATCATCCTCATCTTTGTTGCCATATTTATCACAACTTTTCAGCCGTTGTACGCTCCGGCCTTCTTCATGTGGTTGAAACTGAACCCTTTATTAGGCTTGCTGGGGTAGACTGTTCTAGTTCCATGTGCCATGTCTAATGGATGTCATTTATCAGTTATCTCCTGTTAATTCCCCTCTCCAAGTTCTCCACCGTCTTAACCAGGTATTGAACTCACATTCTTTAGGTCCTGTCACTGTTTCTAAATAACACCTTTATCCACTGTGCCATGTGTCCAAAATATGGCAACAGAGATAGTCCGAACAATGTAAATAGTGTAAATAATACCTCATCTCAGAAATATAGACAGATACTGTAGAAAAAAGGAAGGTTAAATCGCAACTAAGTATGAATTCGTCTTAAGTTTAAGATTTAAAATGTTAATAATCTATGACAACTTATATACGAATATAAGTAAAGTCTTTCACATATTTATCACTGCTGCCAAATTCATGCAGCGCATTTTAAAAAGAGAGTGTATATCTTTCATTCATTATGATTTCAAATTATAGCACATTCTTAATCTGCCGCTGGTAATTCGTGTCAAAGTCAGTCTCTCCGACATCTATGAATTGCTAACATCAAATTGAAGTTTTTAAGCTTTTTCTTAACTCCAGTAACTGTAGATTCATTTGAATCTAACCTCAACAATTTTGTTAAGTTCATAATGAAACGAGTGACATTCAAGCACGATTCATCCATTTTAAAAGAAACCATCCAATATTTTTACTCACAAAATGAAATAGCTATAAGCTTACTTTAAATAACAGGGCAAACACTAAAATTGATTCGGCAGTGCTTTAGATTAAATATACCAAAATAAAATCTTTTATACATGGAACAAACAAACAGAAAAGCAAGTAACGATGGAAGATTATAATCTCTCAGAATATTTACTCTTATTTTAACCCTTTACATCTCATCGAGACAAGAGCATTATCGAAGATATACAGTTATGTCCCATGCGTGATACACGCTTAGGCGATCATCTGTCTTTCAATACATGAATGGCAGTTTTTTTCCCGCAGTAAGTTGCCATTTTTTTCTGCGGTAGACCATTCAAGGCTATAGAACTCGGTCTGTCCTTCTATTTACCCATAGCTGGAGGGGAGAAAAGGAGCATTCATACCTTTCCCAAGGGTATTATTACATTCAGGTCGGTAAATTAAAATAATTCCCTTTGTTTAGGTTTGGATACGAAACTGTACAAATACAAAAAGCTTCGAGAGATCTATGACTGGAGAAATTTCAATTGAAAGCACGAAATCTAGCCTAGCGTGACCAAATGCTCCTCGTGGATAAGTTGGTAAGGCGTAACGGGACAAACGGTAGTTCCCATCTGCGCGTGCGCGCTCTATCTCTCTATATATATATATATATATATATATATACAGAGAGACAGAGACAGACAGACGACGGCGGCGGAAGAATATAATGGATTCGACTGGAATTCGAACTAGGCTCTCTGCTTCCTCAATCTGAGCTGCTATCCATTACTCCACCGTGCGAAGATATACAGGGACTCTTTAAAGAAGGCGTTCTCCTTTAGAATCGAATATCAACAGCAGGATATTCAAGTCACTGTGAATAATATATACTGACAGTTTTCTCGGCAATATCTCCTCTTAATAAAATCTATGAAAATAGTGTTAGGGACGTAAGGCAGTCCCCTAAAACCCACATTTTTCCACAAGAAATTAATCCGTAACCTAATTCGCAACCTTTCCCCTGCAGCCATTGTATCAGTCATCAGCGGACAGACAAGAGGAGAGTAACGCCTTCTTGGATTGTTGTTCATTAAGAGAAGACTGAAAAGTTAACTAAGGGCATGAACTCCATAAACTACGAAAATTAGAAGTCTGGCAAATATAATGTGGTTGAAAGAACGAGAGCCTCTTAAGAGAATCTTAATAGTTTTCATGCATAATAGAAACTACAATTAGAACAAAAACGAACTGGAGAGAAAGGAGTACAGAATAACGACAGATCGTGCTCATTCTGGTCATTAATATATATATATATATATATATATATATATATATGTGTGTGTGTGTGTGTGTGTGTGTGTGTTGTGTGTATTTAGGGAGCATATCTTTATTCAAACATGCTTCATTGAATAATCTAGACATATTATGTCCATTTATTTATATTGTGTCCATCTCTAATTCTCTAACTAAGGTTGATATTAAATTCATTAAGAAAGGCACCGTAGTTTTTTTTTTCTTTTAATTTTAATTTTAATTTTTATTTTCCCGAGTACATTCAGTCTCATCTGAGATCATCTTCAAGGGTGAATTGCTAAGACAAAAAATTAATGTAATTCATTGTTGTGATTTTTTTGTAAACACGCTTGAATGTAATTATTTTAAAATTAACTGTTGAAGCTATGGCGTTTTTACAAGTTTTTGATCAAAGGGAGTTACTTTACTTTGTATAATTGTAATCTATTCGATTTTGTTCCAAATCATTTATAAAACATTGCTGTTATAAACATTTCATGACGTTGTTGCTATACTCATAACTAACCTTATTTAGTGTTGGTTGTTTGCTCCTTATATAAAGGACCTCGAGAATTTGAAGTTTTATTTTTTATTCTCAGAGTGTAGTCTACTTGTGATATCAACAAGTCATTTACTCTATTGCGAAGGTGGACAGGAATGCGACTTTAAATGTTGTGCAACACACACACACACACACACATATATATATATATATATATATATATATATATATATATATATATATATATATATATATATATGATTACTAGGGATACTTTCAAGGAGGATATAAATCCAAAAAGAGCTCAATGTAAGTAGATAGAAAAATTTTTATATATATATATATATATATATATATATATATATATATATATATAGGGAGAGAGAGAGAGAGAGAGAGAGAGAGAAAGAGAGAGAGAGATGAACAAGCCTAGAAAGAAAGAATTCACTGTCAATTTGACTTTAACTTAGCTTTACTTTTCTCTAGTCAAGAACAAATAGAGTGCTTGAGCAATATGAATGTTTTGTTAAAACATACTTCTAAGTAGGAAATATCCATACATCTTCAGGTAATATCAGGATTCGAAATACCAGCTTTTACCTGGTATTGAACACTAACCACTGGCGTCAATTGAAAATATAATCAAGAAAATAATCTGTCTCTCTCTTTGTCTCGCTCTCTCTCTCTCTCTCTCTCTCTCTCTCTCTCTATATATATATATATATATATATATATATATATATATATATATATATATATATATATATATATTTCGAAGGAGAGAGATGGATAAATAGTCTTCCGACGATGGTGCAATATATCAGGACAACTGCTGCTTACATATAAAGGGAAAATATCTGTTTTTGTATAAAAAATATTTGTGTATTTGTATCACTGTGCGTGAAAGAAAGATTTACTTCTTATCTATTGTTAATATTCGCTGTAAATTTCTACGCAAATAGCGGAGAAACAGTTGATTGTCTAACATATTTTGACGCCAACAACTCACGCCATTTCTCTAAGACGCGGAGTTGAAAAAGGCGATGTGTTTTAACTTACATTATCTCAGTTCATCGACCATTTTTAGACTATATGCATTTCCAAAGATTGGGAAAATGAGTGAGATGGATAGTGAGAGAGTGTGATATTAAAGAAAGGAGGAGTAAGAGAAAATTGAAAGACGTTATTAATTTGAAAAAGAAAAAATGGTGAGTAAAATGGAAAAGGAAATAATAAGAAAAACAAGAAAAAACAAAATCCTAATATAGATAGATAGATATGAACAAACTGACATAGATAGATAGATAGATAGATAGATAGATAGATAGAAAAAATTGAGATAGATAAATTAAGCTAGAAAATTAAGTAGTTATCAAAGGTTGAAATATATACATTGATACAGAGAGAGGGGTAGTGACAGATAAGAGTGACTTATAAATTGACCGCAAGAAATTTTCGTAAGAGAAAAATAAATATATTATATAGAATAGTAATATGATAGTTAGCTAGCTAGATAGATAGATTTGAGAAGACTTAGATTGGGGGAGATAATGTTTTATAGTGAGAAAGAGAGCGAAACAGAAAAATACATGACGCAGTTAAAATAGGGGAAAACAGTAGAAGAGATGACGAAGAAGTCAATGACAAAGAGAAGGAAGAAAATTTAAAAGGATAGAGAGATACACAGAGAAAGGGAAAACAAGAAATAAAAAGAGGAAAAGATAGTGAAACATACGCGAAAGAGAAAGTTGTAACTAATCGATTTCATAGACGATATGAAATAATCTTAGCATCATTGACGAATGTTTAAAAGCTTTCTGGTTTTAGATTTACTTATGAAACGGAAATGAAATCACAGCTAAGAATAATAAAAGTAGAATTATCCATCGACGTCTTCAAATCCACTGGCCATTACAAGAATAATACAATGGCCTAAAATGTCCGAATTTCTCTCGTGAAGCATAGATAACTGACCTACATTTTGAGTGTTTATAGTTGCGCTTCGATTAATTTCCTGAATGTTCTGACATTGAGTATGTTGGATTACCGCCCTCTGATGACGATCACGTGGGAGAAGAGGTAAAATCATATCTTTCCAAAGGGTATTTGCGCGTATGTCAATCTAACGAACCCAATGGGAATTGAATATCGGCTCTCTGATTAACAATTCCAGAGCTCTTATCCTTTACACTCCCCGCACATCTAACCTTACAACACCTGGTATTCACAATCGCGGTAATTCATCTAGGGACTGAACAGGCTCGGCATTGCTTAATTTCGCGTATCGTACGGGTACCAATGTTTCAAAATGGTATGACCGTAAGCAAGAAGAAGAAGAAAGATTTAGTGGTACAGGCGTTAGTGAATATAACAATCCCAGCTGGAACTAGATCCCAGCTCTCCGATTAACAATTTCGAACCTTTATCCATTGCATACTCCACGCATCCAAGCTTACAGCAGCTGGTATTCCCAAGCGGTCACCCATCTAGGTACTGAACAAGCTTGACGTTGCTTAACTTCGATGATCATACGGGAACTGGTGTTTCAACGTGATTTGGTCGTAAGACCTTTTACCCAAAAGAATAACCAATTATATCTTCATATATGAAGTGGGTTGCTGAAAAGTTCTGGGCTGACTAAGAAGGTACTTCGACCCATGTTGGATAAGAATTTAGGAGTGGTTCAGGCTAAGAACGTTTTAACAGCCTTTCGGATTACACCCTAAATACATATTAAAGTCGGTGAAAAAAAAAAATCCTATAAGTCAGTGCAAACAAAATTAAAAGACTGTTATTTCTCCCATAAAACATAAGACATCAATATTCCGAGTGTGAGAACCGGTTTGCTATAAAAATCTACATCTGAAATCACGAACTCAAATCACTATCAGAGGCACAACTATTTCAGACATTCTTAACTAGGGCAACAAATGGCTTGTAAATTTTAACGCCTCCAAACCGAAACTGCTGTCTTTTAGTCATCCGAGATAAACTAATTTTGCCCTCTATAAGCATGGCTAATGCCCACCTCCAGGAGGGCAACTCATTGTGCGTTCTCTGTTTGACATTTTCTACTGACATGAAGTGAAACGATTATATTGAATCAATTGCTAAGTTTGCTGTGCCGTGCCAGATATTTTTCTGGATAGAATCCATCATGTACATTCACAAATCTATAATTCATCCCTGTAGTGATCCTGCTATATAAAGATTTTTGAAAAATAAACAAAAACCAAAGAAGAATCTGCAATGTTATCAGTCCTGACCTGGCATTTTAGCTTCATTCACTTTCATACCACCGTAACGTAGCTTCCATGTTATTTTCTATAACTATTTTCATGGTAAGTGTTCTGATAAGCTATCCTCTTTAGTACCTGGACTTTATTAATTTAAGCGTCGTACTAGATTGACAACTAGGTCTCTTCATTGTACTGTTGAAATAGGTAAATATAACCGTAAGTCCTATTCTGACAGTTTCTTCTATCGCAATTTTTGACTGTATGACTTTCTTCCGACTTCCTGCTGTCCTGACAACTACGATTTTTAATAATTTAAACGTAATGTCAATCGCTATTTTCTGTCGGTTTCAAATCTGCTCTTTTATTTTCCCTTCTCCTCAATAAGGTTTCATCATTTGCTTTCACTAGCAGTAAGCTCTTGCATCTTAGTGTCTTTATTGCCGTTCTTGGATTAAAAAAAATATCTCGTTAAGTACAGCACAAAGTAACAAATATGGGTCACCCAGTGAGTATCGACCTCATTACAGTCGTCAAAGCCTTTAAAACTAACTTGTTCATCAGTACACACCTTTCGAGGATATATTCTCGAATTAATATCATCGACATACAAGTTTTACTTCGTCTAACAAATAAATGGCTGTAGATATGCGACACCTAGTGAGGATCAAATACTTTATAATAGTGATCGTCTGCAAAACGATCTTGCTAACCACTGCTCCATGGTTAACTTTTCAGTCTTGTATATTATTCAAATATTCAGACATGTATACACACGCACACATATACGTATATATTCAGTGTATCTAACATGTACGTGTGAATAAGTAAAATATATATATATATATATATATATATATATATATATATATATTCGTTTAAACGTTATTTTTAATAGATACTCATATTTGAATGTATGCCCTAAAAGAGCATCTACTCAAATATCAGTACCCATAAAAATAACTTTTAAGCAAATAAATTAAACTCTCTCAGTGTGGATCAGCTGTAATATTTTATATTAATACGATCTACTTACATTAATTACCCACGGATTTTTTTATATATATATATATATATATATATATATATATATATATATATATATATATATATATATATATATATATATATTATGAGTAAAATATCAGGCTTACAGTTTCTTACCACTACTGTAAGTTCATGCAATTACGCAATCGTCAGGCAGCGGTAATGTGAAAATGGGAACCTTTATTACCCCAGGCAAGACTAAGATGGAAAAAAGTTTATTTATATATATATATATATATATATATATATATATATATATATATATATATATATATAGGTGGAAATTGATGTGTCCAAGTCTCTAGTATAGACATCACTACTCTATGGTGGACTTTGTACCGACGAAACATCAATCAATTGATGCCTTCTACATGCGTCGCTTACATACGATCTGCAACGGAAAATTGGGTGATCGCATTAGAAACAATGAAGTTCTGACTAAATGCAACATGATGGGTATTGAAGCCATCCGAATGAAAATCCAACTCGGGTGGGCAGGAAACAACTTCTTTTTGGACAGCTTCTAACAAGCAGGCCAGGTAGAGGGTCACTCTTGCGTTACGAAGTCAAAACTCAGCGACAATCTGAAGCGATGTTGCATACCCTTTTCGTTCTGGAAACCGACTAGAACATCGTGCAAATATTAAAGAAAGTTGTCAGCATGCTGTTTCCTCGCAATGATAGTCTTATCTTCCACATTGTCGCACGCAGTAAAGCAGACCTTGTTGTCCACTCGCGGAAACATGTGGCAATTAATTCACAACCACTAGAGCAAATTCGCTCAGCCACATGTTCCATCTGTCTAAAGGTTTGTAAAACTCCTCCAAGCATTGGGAGGTATATGCGCGTCCATAAAAGCTGAGCACCTTTTTATTTTACTGCTCCTTTATGTAGACAAACTGTATATCAGTTACGACTGACTAGTGTGTTCGATCCTCACTAGGTGGTCCATATTTTTGGTCTTGTACTACATCTAATCTACGGTTAAGAAATCACTATTCATGTAGTAAAACCTGTGCGTTATGGTGTAATGGACATCGGCTAGGAATAAGAAATCGGAGAGCCGAGTTCGATTTCCAATCGGGTTCGTTTTGTTTACTTACGCGCGTGAAACTGGGAAAGGTAGGAATCTATCTCTACTCCTCCCAGATATGGGTTGAATAGCAAAGACAGACTGGATTCTATAACCTTGGCTGACGGGTAACCAGTTTACCGGAGAAAGAAACGGCAACCAATTGCAGGAAAATCGAAAGAGACATGATCACCCAAGCGTGTATCACGTACAGCACTTAATTGCCTGATGAAACCCTACATAAAACTTAGCCTGTTTCGTTACCTTCATTAAAATTAATTTGTAATTCGACATTATTTCACTACCTCAAAATAGCTAATGAACCACAATAGATAGCGAAATATGTTAAATTTATCTCCAAACAAGGTTAGTACGTTATGGTCGTGTTCGGAGTTAATGATATTAAGGGTTGTTTTTTATAAGTATTATTTCTATAAGTTTTAAACGTTTGTTGCAGTTAAAGTTGTGTATTATACGTGTGTTCGACAAGTATGTTACGTATGGGAGTTATGAAGTCCAATAAAGAAGTGTTTTGTTCGTACAAGTAACATTAATAGAAGTAGCATGTCTAACATTTTTAGTGTGTTTGTGTTTGTGTGTGTGTGTGTGTGTGTGTGTGTGTGTGTGTGTGTGTGTGTGTCTGGCCCAAAAATTTAGATATGAGTGAATTAAAAGAAATTAAACAAGTTGAAAATATTTTATGACAATGCATTTCTTTCCTTGAGAAACTTTTTCAAGGCAATATATCATTTGCCTTGATTAATTTCCTCACGGAACGAAAAGCGTTATATATATATATATATATATATATATATATATATATATATATATATATAAAGAGAAAGAAAGAGAGAGAGAGAGAGAGAGAGGGAGGGAGAGAGAGAGAGAGAGAGAGGGAGGAAATCAGTCGATTCCGCTATGTTGGTTTCAGCTTGCTTGTCGGTATCTTCAGGCGATTTCAGTCACTTTTTTTTTTAAATACTACTGTTTCTTGGTCTCATTCAACTCTGACTGTTAACTTATTTTATATATATATATATATATATATATATATATATATATATATGTGTGTGTGTGTGTGTCGTAATAAAATAAGTACATTGCATCTTCCCTCTCTTATAACCATCGCTTATAACCATCCACTATAATAAAATAAAATAAACATTTTCAGCGCTAAAGCTGTATTTAGTCAAATAAAGTTTCATAAGCTTCTACTTACAGTTGTTGGTACACACACACACACACACACACACACACACACACACACACACACACACACACACATATATATATATATATATATATATATATATATATATATATATTGAAAGAGAGATAGTAGAAGAAAACGAGATAGATTATGCGAGTGAAAGAAAAGTTTCAACTCCATAGCCGGCTGGAGGTGAGACCTAATTTAAGCTTGGTTTATAAAAAGACATGTATTTCATCGTCGGCCTCAGATAAACTGATTCAAACTAGCAGGTAATTTTGTCTCGATTTCTGCTGGATAATGCCAATTCCATAATAATTTGGACGAATCAATACGCCTTAGTCGGCCGTCTGACTCCAACTGAAGTAAATAGAGATTGCTGCGTGGGTTGAAGACGACATCTCAATTTCAACTGGTCTTTACTTGTTTTCAACAAAATGGAGTTCGATTAGTATCGTCTGGTGTTGTAAATTGAAAAAGAAAAAGTTGTTTTGTGTTTCGTTGCATCAAAAAAAGAAAAAGACAAGTCAAATCCTTCCCATGAAGAAACGTTTCAATAACTTTCTTCCTTTTGTTGATGTACTGTGTAGAACTTAAATCTAATTTCACTGGTTTTTTTTTGCTTCTATTTCAGCCGAAAAGATATATTTAATTTAGAATAAAACTTTTAGTCTAATAATAGTTGTTTCAACTTTAAAATTTCGTGTTTTGGCTCCATCATCGAAGCGATCGATTAAATTTCTAAACGTCTTTCCCAGTTCCAGAATAAATTCCTGCCATGTTCTTCTTTTAAAATTCTTGATTTAGAATCATTTCCAAAAAGCGAAAGCCAGTTTACATTAGCAGAGTGTATAGAACTGCACTTTGTCAATAGACTTTTAAATATATTGATTCTTAAAGATTTCTGTCAACTTTTTTTCATTTTTTCCACATACATAGCAAACAATATCTATTCCTATCTATATTTTGTGTATGTAACACTTTTTATATCATAAGAAGA